ATCCTTCAGATCTGAGTTGATAATTAACACACTTTTATTTAAGCAGGAATATAAGAGTATTTTCTAAATAAATAAATTCAAATGAATCATAGCAAACCAGTAATTCCTAGTTAATAGACTAAATTCACCTAATCTATAAAATGAAACACATAATTTAACAGCATATATATGTACAATCTTAAAACCACTGAGAAAAATGTTCTAGTCTGTCAGATTCCTTAAAGACTTACAGCCTCTGAAACCCGATGGAGTAGTTCTATTGTGTCTTCTACGGCCCTCAGGAGTGGGAGTCCACACTGAATGGACGGCAATGTGTTTGCATTGGTGGGTGGCTACTGTACATATGTGAAATCTGAATGTATAAAATTAAGCTGTGCAATGTGACTTTGCTACACAAATTGAACATCAGTTGTGCTAGATGCCGACACAGAAACTTCTCTATAAGACAGCGTCTCATAAAAGATTTTACTTCAGCAATGAGTTTTGTGATTGGCTGGGCCAAGATGGTTCATGCTGGGTTTTTCTTTTTCTTTTTTAAATAAATAATTTTATGTATATTTTAGGTAAAAGACAATACCTTTAACAGAGAAGAAAAGCTATTTAGATGTTTAGAAAAGACTGTGAGGCATTTTGTGAAGAATATTTCATTCTGTCTTCAACACATACAGGTAGGTGAATACAACGGTTTTCCATTTCTACATTAATGTGTGTATTTCCATAGTTACAATGTAGATGAACTGTGACTGCCCATTCATTTACATCAGGATGTCTACCGTCTCAAACTGCTGGGAAAACAAGTCAGTAGAAGACGTGTTTTTACTTTTTCCTCTTACCTACCATACCTCCCCTCAATCCAGTTCCCTAAGAGGGCTGCTTTGCCTTGCTGAGAACCATTGATTTAAACAAAACCACTATTGTGCCATACAATTGTTATCATGAAGACAGTTGGGGGTCTGTTAATAACTTAAAAATGGCATAAAGAGGATACAGTGTCCTTACTAACATTCTTTAAAAAAACTTTTAGTTGTGAATTAGTGAGGCTTTATAGCACAGATTATTTCTGACTGCTTGCCCTGTTTCCATCCTTTTTGCCCATCTCCCTCTTGTTGGAGATTGTTGCCCCTCACTCAAGGGAACACCTGTCTGTCTTCTAGCATAAGACTTCCCCTCCCTTCTTTTCCCTTTCCATCGTTGGTTACCATCAGCTGTTTTCTTTTAGTATAAAAAAAGCTTTTCTTAGTTTTTTAAAATACCATGATCTCATAGAATACTTGATATTTTGTGAGCAGTTGCACTCAGCACAATGTCCTCCAATTCCATCCATGTCATGAGGTAGTTAACAGATCCATCACAATTCTTTACCTTTGCACAGTGGACCATTGTGTGTATGTGACATTGTTTGTCTATCCATTCTTCTACTGCCTTTTCATAATGGTGAACAGTGTTGTGATGTGCATATATTCTTTGTACTATATTACTAGTATTCTTATAGTCTTCATGACTATGTGACACATGGTTTCATCAATAAATGGTCCCCTTTTATTTTCTAGAAATATTTCATTTGGAGGTTGTTTTTTTAAAATAGTCTTATTGGCATATAATTCACATAACATCCAATTTAATAGTTCAACCATATTAAGAAGAGTTGTACAATTAGCACCACAATCAATTTCAGAACATTTTATTCTCTCTTGCACTTATTGTTATTTGCTCCCACCTCCCCATCCCCAACCTACCGTGCCATACCACCAAGAAACCATTCATCAAGCTACTGTCTTTATAGGTTTACCTGTCTAGGATTTTGTATACAGAAAAACATACAAAGCCTACCAACAATAACAAAGTAAAACAAAGAAAGACTCAATCAAAAGGAGAGTAGAAAATATCAAATATCTAGAACAAATGTAAAATGAGTCACAAGAGACATCAAATGATAAGGTTTGGGAAGCAGATGTTTGCATGTGGGTTTGATGATTTGGGTTTAATGGGGTTAATGATTTGAGGGCACAATGATTTGGAGGCAAGGTTTCATGTGATGCTGAGGACAAGCACCATTCTGTTCCCATTTATAAACTGATGCAAAGGTCTATTTACAAACAGATTTGCTACTCTCTTCCCAAAGCACATACTTTAGGTGTGTACTTCCTAAAGTACATCCTGCCTACCATGAAGAGAAACCCAGACACGTTATAAGAGCAGAAGGCAGTGGGAGCCTGAGCTTGATGTATTTTTATAGGAGTAAATGCCTTTGGAGAACACTTAAGAGTAAAAACCAAGTTTTTATATTGACTTCTTTTACCAGTATCTTGATCGGCATTTTGTAGCCTCCCAAATTTGATATGGTAGATGTTCTGATGAAAATGAATTTATTCATCACAATAACCATTTCCACTGGTTGAGAATCATCTTCTTTGAAAGAGACCATTGGATACTTAGGGAAAATTGAAGGCAAAACTGAAAGAGGGAGTGTGCTTTTGTTTTGTTTTAATGAGGGAACTATTTTAATTGACTGCTGAAGAATGACCAGTGAGGAAATTTGAGAATTTCCCTGCATAAAGGAGGGATCAATCATATGGTGTATATTATTAGAAAATGATGTGGCTGAAAGGTAAAGAAATACACAGTTTAGCCAGTAAACTAGTTGTATAGAATATTCATGAAATTTGTTTACATTTTTCCTATTATTTTTAGTTTCTATGGTAATGAAGGTTTATCATGATGAGGGCTACATTTAGAATACATTTACTGGCCCTGATGTCAGAACTGACCCTTTCTGAAACTTTTTTTTTGGATTTCAGGATGCCATGCCCTTGACTCTACAGAGTATACTGGAGCTCCAGGAAATTTCCTACAGTAAAGACGAGGAAGAGAATGGCTATTCAGAGACCCCAAGTAACACCCCAAATCCCAGTGATGACTTTGTAAGTTATGCATAGTCACAGATAAATGCAAGTTAAATAATGGGTTTAAAAGAAAATCTGCTTTTCATACCTTTTTAGAAGTTAAAAATAAAATGTGCTCTAAAGTTAATATTAATGTCAAAATTAGCAGGCTTAAGTGGGAGATTTTTTCCAATTATTAAATATTTTTTTAGGTGAAGTAGTGAGGATTTTATTATAATTGAAATTTAAGAGGACCCCAGATAGTGCCTTTTAGGGGTGTCAGTGTTTGTGTAGCTCTTAAAAGCAAGAGTTAGTTTAATCTGCCTATGATATTTCAAATATTTATTAAGTTCAAATGCTGTGATTTTCTTCAAGGAGTTCTAGAGACCTTCTAGAGCAGAAGATGGTTCTCTAAAGATGCGATTCTCGGTAACACTGCAAAGCAAGCTTCTACTGAGAAAAACTGTTACAAAAGAGTCACATATGACTTTTCTGATTTTTGTCATATACTACTTTTCAGATTTTGCACTAAAATAGTTCTTTTTTAAGAATCTTATTAAAATATAGCTGGGAGATCATAAAAATGTTCTTGGGTCAATAAAATATTTAGCTAGAATTAATAATAATATTGAATTTTCTATATTGTGTTTTGATATATATTATTATTTCAGTTTATGAATATTGGATAAAAGATAGAGTAGACTTTTCATAATCGTGAAAGTCTTTGGATGTGTTGGCACTACTTGCATTGGGTGTCAGACAAATCTAAATTGAGTGGCCCTTGTGTTGGACGTTTAGCATTCCTGGATTCCAAAGAATGGCTCCAGTAACAGCTTCCATCTTAAGCCACTGTAACAACCCGGGAATTGGCCTATACTTTTTTCCAAACCATAGGGAGTGAAACAACAGCCCTGTAGAGAGCCAACCACAATGACTTTCCTTTCTTGGCACTGAGGGCTAGAAAGCTAAAGTTATAATTTTCACTAAGATATTAGGTAGATGGAGTAACCTTAAACTCAACTGCCACTGAGACCACTCTGACTCATAGTAACAGATAAACAGATGAGTGTTTTTACAGTATCCGTTTAATGGAATAAACATGGCTGGATTTTATGAGTTTTCGGGGTTTAACTACAGAGAACATGCTCAAGAAAAGTCCTTAAGGGCTTGCTTTTTAAACAAATTAATCCATTAATTAAGTCAGTATGTATTTAGTGAGCACAAGGCAAAAACAAAGCATAGTTTTCCCACAACAATTTGATGAAGTGAAGGGAGAGGAGACCACTGTACTTTGCATAAAATCATAAGAGGGTATTTCAGGCAAAAGTCAATAAATATCACAAAGCTCAATATTCCAAAGAAATTTGCTATGGAGAATACACTGTTAAAAACCAAGTCTTGAGAACTCAAAATCTAATTATAGAACAATTGTTCTGTAACTATGAGTGATAGCTACACATTTTAGAGAGGACAACATATTAAAATCAAATCTGATTCTGATTTGTTCTAGTCACACTACCTATGTATGGATAAATCAGTTCATACCTAAGAGTCACTGAGAAGATATATTGTAATGAGATTACCTGTGGGATCCAGACAAATCACAAACACACTAATTTATCCCAGACACAGTGAACAGTATTTGTTTAGTCAAGGACTCATTAAGCAGTATGCAGGTACATATTGATCATCTCATAAGCTAGACATCAAACTTGATCTGTGCTGGCTTTTCCTGGTGCCAATATAAGATTGGTTTTCCCTCTCTTTTAGATTTCCCATGAGTTCAAACTTGGTAACTAAAGGCCATTTAAATTAATTAATACAAGCTGCTGTTTAGATACTGAAACCCCAGGACATATTGAGGAACACAAAAGAGAAATCTACTTGCAAATTGCCATAAAAAAAATCATGTCTGGATGTTTATCAGAATTAAAACAAATACATAGGAGGCGGGGGGCGGCTTCAAAATGTTTATGGGAAACTGGAATGGAAAGCTAATGGAATCTTTGCACTGACTTTTTGAAGCTCTCTTGTACGAGACACAACTAAGGCAGTCAGCAGAGATCGTATTTCAGAACAGAAGGAAAAAGAAATAAATAGAAACCAATTAAAACTGTGGTACACGGGTGTTGGTCTAGGGTTGCACATTAGTAGAAAGTTCATTTTCAATGACTGAAAATGTCGGAATTGAAGACATAGGAGTGGGCAAGAGTTTAATCTTTCAATGAATTTAAGTAGAAGATCATAATCCTGTGATCATTTCTATGCCCACAGTAAAAGGTTAAATTAGGGAGGATGAGTCAAAATCCACTACATGGCAGTGAGTTTGGTTTGGGTATCTGTGAAGGAGAAGCCCTGGTGGCAGAGACGGACTGAGCTAACTGAACTCTCAGTGGTTTGACCGCACTGGTCACTCCATTGGCGGAGGATGTGGCCGCCTGCTTCTGTGAAGATTTGCAGCCTTGGCAACCCTGTGGGGACAATTCTACCATGGTCTATGGAGTCACTATATAATGAGTGGAATTTACTTTACAGCTGTGAGTTTGGGTTTTGTTGTTGTTTATTCTGTGTGGAGGAGTCCCTGGGTGTTACAGTTCACTTCCTCACTGCTAACTAAAATGTTGGAGGCTTGAGTCCGCCCAGACAAACCTTGGAAGAAAGGTCTGATGATCTATTTCTGAAAAAGCAGTCACTGGAGACCCTGGGTAGCACAGATGTCCTCTGACACACGTGGTCTGCATAAGTGGAAAGAAACTCAGGAGCAACAGTTTTGTTGTGTTTTTTAATGTTGTTATTGTTAAATGCCATCGAGTTAGTTCCAACACGTAGCAACCCTACAGATCACAAAACAAAGACACTGCCCAGTCTTGCGTCAGCTTCACAGTGGATCTTATGTTTGAGCCCATTGCTGCAGCCTCTGTGTTAATCTAGCTCCTGGAGGGGCTGCCTCAGTTTTGCTACCCCTCCACTTTACCAAGCATGGTGTCCTTCTCCAGGGACTGGCTTTTCCTGACAATATGTCCAAGGTATGGAGATGAAGTCTCCCCATCTTTGCCTCGAAGGAGCAACCTTGCTATACTGCTCCCAAGACATAGCTGTTTGGTTTTTTGGCCAGTCCATGGTACTTTCGATATTTTCCACCAGCACCATAATTCAAATGTATCAATTCTTATGTTTTCCTACTTTCATGACCCAACATTCACACACATATGAGGTGATTGAAAACACCTTGGCTTGAAAGAGGTGTACTATAGTCTTCAAAGTAACATCCTTGTTTTTCAACACTTTAAAAGAGTTCTTGTGCAACCCATTTACCCAATGCAATGCAATATGCATCCTTTGATCATCCCTTGGCTGTTGCTTCCATGAGCATTGATTGTGGATGCAAGTATGATGAAGTCTGACAACTTTCCACCTTTTCTCCATTCATCATGATGCTCCCTATTGGTGTGAGGATTTGGGCTCGCTTTAAATTAGCTCCAATTCTTACTGAAGACAGCAACCCTTTCATCTTCATCAGCAAGGGCTTCAAGTCCTCCTCGCTTTCAGCAAGCAAGGCTGTGTCATCTGCAGATCACAAGTTGTTAATGAGCCTTCCTCCAATCCTGATGCAGCATTTCTGCTTCATATCATGCAGCCTCTTTGATTATTTTCTCAGCATACAGATTGAACAGATATGGTGATGGGATACAACCCTGACACATGCTTTTCCTGATTTTAAGCCATGCAGTCTTCCCTGGTTTTTTCTGTTCCCCCAACTGCCTTTCGATCCACATACAGGCCCCAAACATCTGACCCTCTTTTAAATAACTTTAGTATAATATCAGCTCAAAAATACAAGTCAAGTTTGTTAATATTTTACGTAACACATTCTGGAGCTGCCTGAAAATTACGTCCCCTTCCTGCTTTGACTGATAAAAACTAGATTATGATGTGCATAAAGTAATTTTTTTCAGGTTTCCTTTTTCATTGTATGCTTAGCAGAGCAAGATCACACCGTCTACCATGACCCATGGGACTGCCAAATATGAAAGTATTAATTTGCCGAACACTCTCACACTGTAAATCCCTATGGTTAATGTAAACTGTTCAGTGGGAACTCTGCCCCTTCCCTTTAAGCAGGCCCAGGGCATGTCCCACACCTGTCACATCTTAGACGTGTACTTACACTAACGGGAAGACAACTCTGATTCTATTTTAATTTGACTACCTACCTGGTTTCCCTTATCTATGCTCCTCAATGGGGCAAAACGCTGGGTACAGCCACTCTCTGTAATGGGATTGTCTTTTCTTTTGGCAGGCTGCTCAGTTACAGAAGATCGTTCTGACGCCATTGTCAGCCTTACTGTCCTTATTCCCGGGGCCTCAGAAGCTCATCCAAAAGCGCTACGACAAACTGCTGGATTACAACAGCTACCGGCAGCGGTCCGTAGGAGAAGAGTCCGACCTGGCCAAAAAGGAGTATGAGGCGCTCAATGCCCAGCTTGTGGAGGAGCTCCAGGTGTTCAACCAGGCTGCTCGGAGGATTCTCCTGGACTGCCTGCGCAGTTTCCTTACTCTCCTCAGGGACCTGATGCGAGCGGCCCAGGGTGCCTATTCAGAGGTGGTTCAGGTAAGCAGGGTGCCTGGCTTCCCTGGCCTTCGGGATCAATTAGAAGCCACACTGATGCAAAGCAAAGCCCTGCCCCCTGGGTTCTTTAGGGTTTCCTTTTGTTTTGTAACAACTGAAGTCAGTCAAGCAGCCTTCTGCTACTCAACTCTCTCCCCGCCCCAGAAAGCAAAGCGAGAAGTTTCCTAGAACAGTTTCTCTGTGGTTTACCCACATGAAGTTCTTTTTGGAGATTACCTGAAAGAGCGAAACAAAACCAAACCAGAGCAAACCCCCACAGGACACAGTAGAACTGCCCTAGAGGGTTCCCCGGGTGGTAAACTTTATGGAAGCTGATGCTTTCTCCTTTCACCCCTGGAGCAGCCGGAGCTCCAGCAGTTGACTTTTTTTAGTTAGCTGCCTAATGCTTAAATTCTGTGCCACCAGGACCCTTTTGGAGATTAGCCTTCAAATACCAACCACCTTTCAAGTTCACTTCACTCCGCCATAGGACACCTGCCTGGTGTTACCTTTAATTGTATCTGTTTTCGGTTCATGTTCTATTCTTACATGTGAGCCCGGACTATTCAGAGGTGGATTCAAAAAGGCCATCACAGTGTAAAGATGGAAATATAATAACTGTCAAACCATTCTTTGTTTTGCTTTTAAGGGAGAAATTCTGAATATATGTTTTTTATACATAAGAAGAAATATTATAAGATTAACGTATTGTAGAATTGATATGTGCTGCACAACAAACTAGGGACCCCTGGTGCCATAGTGTGTTCCGAATTGGAAACCACTAACCAGAAGATCTGCAGTTCGAAACCACCAAACAGGTCTGTGGTAGAAAGACAAAGGCTTCCACTCCTATAAAGAGTTACAGTCTCAGAAACACACAGGGCCAGTTCTCCTCTGTCCTGTAGGGTGTCTGTGAATCAGAATGGATTTGATGGCAGCGAGTTGCACAATTAAATAATGTTTTATAGGTAATTGAATATGTGAATACTGTGAGTTTATATATAACGGAAAGAAGATTTGAACATTTAGCTTTCCATTAGTCAGTGAGTTAGTTAATTGTGCCAACCTGGCCGATAAACACATGTGGGGCTAATTGAAAGGCGGAGGGATAAATGGGTGGTGAGCCTCGCCTTTCTAGTTCTTGGGTCTCTTGCTTTGTGATGGTCGCACCAGGGTGCAGCTGCCTTAGCAGTTCCCTGCTTCAGCTTGCAAGATAGACTTCCTACAAGACATCCCTAAAGAGAAGCCACATGGACCTATCCCGATGCAGCCCTGGGTGCTGGAGCAGCCATGTGGAGACCCCTGCTAGTGCTGAGATGCTTATTCGTTCACTGACTCAGCTTTCCTCCTGCAGTCGGCATCATTGCCTCTGTTTTGTGAGGTGGAGGACTTTGTGGACTGGTGTTGGGTTAATGGGTTAATGTTAGACTTGTGGGCTTGGGCAGCAGTGGGTTGAGATGTTTTCGTGATGCATACTTTCTTTACATAAAACTCTCTTATCCATGAGTTGCTGTGGATTTGTTTCTCTAAAGTACCTAGACTAATACAGTCAGATATGATTTTTAAATTATTTGCTTTTTAGAAGAAGAAAGATAGATCTGTACAATCCAATATCAACCTTAAAAAAGTCAGCTTGGTTTCTGTCATTTTCCCCTTGATTCCAAGCATATTTGGTTCCTATTAAGGGGCTTCAACCAGGGTAATCAAGATTTAAGATTTCCAGATAAGATGTCAGACTGACAACATTTGAAGAAAAATTAATCATGCCTACTTTTTATGTAATTAATTAAACGTCTACTTATTTGATGGATTATATTAAATCAAATAGGTGCTATATTTTCATGGTTTAAAAGCCCAAACTATAAAAACACATAAGTATACACACTCAGTTCATTAAATCCCCCATATCCCTGCCCTCCTTCAAGAAATCATCTGTATTACTATATTTTTCTCCAACTTGGGCTTTCTGAAGGATTTGGGTGGTGCAGTGGGTTGAGCAGTGAGTTCCTACTGGAGAACTTGTCGGTGGGAACCAGCCGCTCTGAGAAGCCACTTTCTTCACATGCTAACTGCCATGAAGATTCCCAGCCTCACCAACTGGTCCGCAGGGTTGCCGTGAGTCAGACTCAACTCCGCAACAGTCAACAATGGGTGAGATCTTCGTTATGAAAACAAAATGCAAATTCATATTTGCTTCTTAACCATACATCCTGAGATGTTTATACATCTCTGCAGAGAATGTCCTCATTCTTTTCACAGCTTTGTAAAACCAAAAAACCAAACCCACTTCCAGACTCCGAGCAGACTTTGAAGAAGAAATCTGCTGTGCACTGAAAGAGGATCTAGTCCCTGAAAATTTCAGAGAACAAAGGCCTAATGAATGGAAACAGAACATTGTCAGAGATCGTGCTGGAGGATGGGCCATTCAGATTTGAAGGCATTTAAAATGTGACTGCTTTCTCAACCTGGGGTTGACCATGGGGACCTGAATGAGGTACAGCCTGTGGGATTGACCCCTTCAGAATCTTCATTTGTTGATGGGCACAACACAAGTTGAGAAGAAAACAGCTGCAAAAATCTACTAATAATCAACACTTGGAATGTACACAATACAAGCCTAGGAATATTGGAAGTCATCAAAAATGAAATGGAACACATAACCATTGATATCCTAGGTGTAAATGAGCTGAAATGGGTCAGAAAATTCATATGGTTTACTATGCCAGGAAGGACACAATTGAGAGGACAGGTAATGTGTTCAGTGTCAAACAGGACCTTTCAAGACCTGTCTTGAAGTACAATGTTGCCTGTGGTAGGATTATATCTGTCTGCCTTCAAGTAAATCCAATCAACCCAACTATTATTCACATTTTTCACCAACCATAAAGGTTAGTGATGAAAAAAAATGAATTCTACCAATGAATTCAGTCTGAAATGGATCAAATGTGCAATCTAGATGCATTTGTAATTAATTATTGGCAACAGGAGTAAAAAACTGGAAACAAAAAAGAACAGAAGTTGGATAATGCACCCATTTGTCTTCAGCGATCCTATCATGGAGGTGAGCACACAATGATATAATTTTTTTTTCTTTGATGCCTGTTAACTGATCCCTTCGGCACCTCGTGATCACACAGGCTGCTGTGTTCTTCCATGTGGGCTTTGTTGCTTCTGAGCTAGATGGCTACTTGTTTACCTTCAAGCATTTAAGACCCCAGACGCTATATCTTTTGATTTCCAGCCACCATCCACTTTCTTCACATTTGCTTATTCACCCACTTTGTCTTCAGCAATTGTGTAGGGAAGGTGAGCATCATAGAATGCCAATTTAATAGATGAAAGTATTCTTGCATTGAG